TACACTTCTATGGGTTGTGCACTTGCCTGTTCCTGCAATTGCCTCTTGTAGATGTTCAATTTCTGTGTGGTCTTGTCCAACGAGTCTTGTAACAAGGCAATGTTCTTTTGGTCTTCCTCGCATTGGATCATCACCTAAATGAAAACAAAATATAGTAACCGAGCCAACTTGCAAAATATATTGGTAATATATCTGACCTCCTTGACGGTGCGTTCCTTCTTTCTCAAAATCTTGATGGTCTCGGCATGCCTCCTCTTCTCTTCGTCCAATTCCAATTCCAAATCGCGCATACGAGCCTCCAATTTGCTGATGGCACGTCTGCTTCCGGCCAAGGCATTGACCTCTACTTCTTCCAAACGGACAGTCAAATTCTACAAATAAAACGAAAAACTTACTTTTGACACTTTAAGAGCAATTCGGTCTACAGAGCATGTTATTGTAGGGCGCAAACTCAATGCAATTATGTAAACTTGTTCGAACAAACATACTTCATCTTTCGCTTTTTTGACCCAACGACTAAACCGATTTGGCCAGTCTTAGTCTTGGAAAATTCGTGCTAATCACTGTAGGTTGTAGGAAAGGTGAGATATTATTTCAAAATCGCGTAGAAACTTTACATTTTTAATTTGAACATTTCTGTAGAAGCTTAATTTAAATAAAACAATAGACGGTGGCTAATACGTCAAATGTCAAATGTTTTTGACAGATGTTCAATTAGGTTTAACAGGATGTTTTACGTAAATATTATTTAATTATTATTAAATTGTAGTAAGTAATTTTGTTTGTAGTTTTATTTATATACAAAAACGTTAGTAAACGTTTTGACGTAAACAAATTGACGGCTTAAAATATATTTTAAAAATATAAAGCGTTGTAATACAGTTATGAAATTATAGTATGTTATTCCCTAATATATGTACTAAATTATAAAAATATAAAATAAAATATGTTTTCAACAGAAGATACTCTATTCTTGCATACTCTATTTTTATTAGTTACGAATCGACGGTTGGATATGATATAAGAAGTACTTTTGAAAAATGTTTTAAAAATATACAATTTATACTAGAGCTATAAAATTTTGGTATGTTATTTTTTAATATATGTACTCAATTATAATAATATAAAATCACATATGTTTCTAACAAAAAAAGCTATAAATGTGCAATTTTGTAAACAAATGCGCTCTTGCATATCTAGTTTCTGATAATTGCAAACCGTGGAGTTTGATGAATATTTTGAAAAATATTTAAAAATATAAAACGTTATACTAGAGTTACAAAATTTTAGTATGTTATTTCTTAATATGTGTACTAAACTATAAAAATATAAAATCACATATGTTTCTTACAAAAACAGCTATAAATTTGCAATTCAGTAAAATCATGTAGTAGAGCTGCAAGTGTTACTACAAACTCAACAATATCAACTTTTTTGAAATGTTAATATGAAAATGCACTTTTTGGCGTTCTAGCACTCTCTTTTGCAAATTATTAATATTTTTCTCAAACACGGTGCTCTGAAAGATCTCATTTGTATGATTATATACTCATTGGTGTTTATAAAACATTTTCTAGGTGATATTATTTTTTATTTATGTTATTTAAATTCAAAACCTAAATTTGGTATCGATCAAAGGGACATTTGTCGAATAACATTTTCCCAATTATAATTTTCCAGAATTTATCGAAGAATAGATAGTAACATATAAAGGTCCACCACCGATGCATCAAAAACCAGTAAAGTTAAGCATTGTTTAACAACAATATTTGAAAGTAGATGTAGTGTGTATTTTACTTAGCAAAACAACGTTTGCCGGGTCAGCTAGTATATATATATATATATATATATATATATACAGTAGCGGCGCGAGGCGTCGGCGGTGTCGGCGGCCGCCGACGGCCTCGCGCCTGGGGGGGCCTCGCAAGAGGCCCCGGAAAAATTTTAATTATTTAAAATTTAGTTAATTTTCATACGGATGTGCGAGTAAAAAAGGTGATTAGTGGTTTACAGGCACTATCATTTTACTCTTTTATCTTTTATGGACATTATCTAATATCGTCTGTCAACACTATAGATTATTAAATCTAAACAACTTTGCGCAAGCTAATTCTCTGGTTGTTCATATTTGTGTATTTCTTATGTGAGCACTATGTAAATCATCGAAACAGTAAATAAATATTCGAGGAATAAAAGTAATCAATGTTCAATAAAAATTTATCAGTGAGAAATAACAATGAGATAATAGCAAAAACTGTTAATTTGAAACTAATCATTGTTTCACACCGTCAACACAAGCAACATATTTTTTTAAACATTCTATTGGGATGATCAGTTCTTTCAAATAAAATTCATAACCTTTTAAACTTTTTTTGTGTCTCCAAAACCGCTAAACCTGCCTTTGACAATTTATCAACACAAATCGAATGTTTTTAAATGTTTTAAATCGGTTGATCGGCTCTGATGTCATCGACAGAAAATTAAAGCGTCTTAAAAAAACGACATTTTGACATTTTTGAACCAATTTTAAAAATTCAAAAACTAATCGAAAGTTTTCAGTTGGCGATCGTCCTGAATTGTTGCGACAAGATCGACCGCACAGTTTCTTCGTAATTTATTGTAAAAATCTTTTTTCAAAAACTTGTTAGTATCATCTAACATAAATTTTATGGAACTACGATAAATGATTAATTATAAAAACTCATTAACTTTTAGAATAATGGGACGAGCTTTTAGACCATGTGTACCTACTATGTGATGTACGGATTTGTGCACTCAAATTAGTATGAACATAGATTTTTTAAATCTAATTAATCACTTGCAGATTGCAAAATTTTGTCTAATTAGTTATTAAGACGGTGATTTCAAACCATTTTTTAACTTCCCGTAGGGTAAGTTATTGTAATGGGCCGAAAATCGGAATTGAAAATTTTTACATTTCTCGACGTTTTGAAGGTTTCTGAACGTTTTGGCATACCTCAGAAAAAATGGATGTGTGTGTGTGTGTGTGTGTGTGTGTGTGTGTGTGTGTATGTATGTATGGATACAAATTTTCGTCCACGTTTTCGGGCGTACGGATCAACCGATTTGAATGGTTTAAAAAACATTCGATTCCTATTAATAAGGAGAAGAGCTGATTAGTTTTTGGCAAAGACAGGTCCAGCAGTTACGGAGATAAGGAGCAAAGAGTGCAGAAAATAGAAATCGAGTTTTTGAGAGAACGGAGCATCCGATTTGAATTATCTGAAAAACATTCCATTAGTAATGATTGGGAGAAAGGGTTATTAGTTTTTCGCAAAGGCAGGCCCAGCCATTTCGGAGATACAGAGCTAAATGTACAAAAAATGGCAGTTTTTGAGAGAACTAAGCGTCCGATTCAATTGATTCAAAGAACTTTCTGCTTGTCTTAACAAAATAATTGATTTTGGAAAAAAAAAATTTGTACCATTTTTTTTTTTTTTTTTTTTTTTTTAATTTTTGTATATCGAAAATAATTCAGATTTTATTTTTAATTCTGACTATAGTTCTAATATACTTTAAACAAATAATTTCAACTCTGCAATTCAGTTTATATAATTCTTATAAATATTAGACAATAATACAATATTTATAATAATCTATTTGAAAACATTCAATATTCCTCGAACGTTTCGTTACGGTACGGGAAGTTCCAGCAATTTGCCTTAAGGCACGATGCCACCCACCCCACTAGTTATTCATAATGATCGAGAAAACATAAAATTTACGAATCAAATGGTTGGGCAAAGGAAACTTTTTTGCGATAAATATTTAATTTTAGTGCTTTTTTAATAGCTGGAGAACTAACCATTTTTGCCGAAGAGTTTGTTTATTTTAACTTGTGTAATTTTTGTCTATTTCAATTGGTGTATTTATCTGATTAAAAATAAATCTTATATACAGTTATAGTAATCGCAAAAAAATCTAAAACATAAAATTTTATATATCTTCAAAGATTTCTGAACATTTTGGCAAATTTTCGTCGACGATTTCGCGAACATGGATCAACCAATTTGAAAAATTCAGAAAACATTTGTGAGAAGACGTGCTGATTAGATTTTGGCAAAGACAGGATAAGCCGTTTCGAATATACGGGACAAAAAATGCCAAACTGATTACATTTTTAGGAAGGCAGGTCTAGCGGTTTGGGAATCCAGTAAAAAGCACAACAAAAGCCATTTGGCATATGCACATCAAATTATCAGATATTTTATAAAGATTTTAATTAATAGTGAGTTAAGTTAGACTGCAACGCGCCGTTTACGCGCCGTTTACGCGCTTCGATATTTCGTCTCTAAGCAGCTAACGCGACGTGATTGCTTTGAAAAAAAGTTCGAAATTTTCAACAAAATATTTCAAATTAAAAACTTAACTTTTCAAATTTTTTAAAAGCTTTTCAAAAATTTAAATTACGGCACGAAAAGTTTCAGCAATTTGCCTTTAGGCATGATGCCATGTACCACTAGCAACTTGCAACTGGCAAAAAAGAGGGGCCTCGCAAACGAATTTCGCCGACTCCCACGAATGGTCTAGCGCCGCCACTGTATATATATATATATATATATGTATGTAGCGGCCTGTCAACACGCATCGCATTTCTACTGGACAGATAGGCTCATATAGTGACAGCACGGAGGAAACAAAATAATTCAAGTGTCAGATCTGATCTCGCTTTTGTTTCTCCCCGAGTCTAATGGCCAAAATTATTTTTCTTGAAACCTTTTCTTTTCAATTGTAAATACGCAAATACCAACTATATATTATAAACGATAAATATGATTACACATAGTGTTGTCAATATTAATCTTACATAAAATAAACCAAATATAAAACATAATATGTCTACAATTTGGATCATTTTGGTATTACTTATGGACCACTACCTCCATATATATATATATATATATATATATATATATATATATAATATATATATATATATATATATATATATATATATGAGTCTATTATTACCCTCTCACCTTGATTTCGATCTCCAAGCTCTTCTTGATGGCCTCGATCTTGACAATCCTCTCCTGTTCCTCGTGCAGCATCTCGACCGTAGATTTCAGATCGACCTGGACGCGCTGGTACCTCTCGTCGCTAACTCTCAATTCCTGGGTAACCTGCTCGTAGTCTCCGCTCAAAGTCGACAATTCCTGCTCGATTTTGCTCTTGGAACTGGCCAAATTGACGTTGATTACCGTCAACTCGTTAATGCGGGCGACGCTCTCCTCGTACTGCTGTTCGACTTGGCGTTTGGCGCGCGACAACTAGGGGAATAGATAGAGGATACAGTAGGACAAATTGCTGGAACTTACCGTGTCGTAATGAATTGTTTCGAGGAATGTTTTCAAATATATTATTATACAAATACGACTCTAACTTTCATTATTATTGCTATCTTGTTTGTTATATCTGATAGTGAGCAAATCAAATGTAAATCATAAATCATAAATCAATTTGTCTCCAGATCATTAACAATCGTCATTTCATTTCGAATTCAATTTCAAAAAAAAATTAGTTGCCTTAATTTACACAAAATTGGAAAAGTGCTCCCGCACAGTCACAGTCTAAACGCATTTGCAAACAATTCTGTGCGACATTTTCACTTATACAGTGCTTGGCTCGGTGGCAGTTTCACATTTTTCAATAGTTTTTTCACAAAATTGTAAAAGTGCTCCAGATCATAAACAGTCTAAACGCACTTGGGTAAACATTTGTACCAGAGTGGAGCTTAGACTGCGCTTAGCCTGGGTGATTTTTTCAATTTTTAATCCAAAATTACAAAAATATTTTATGGAAAATAAAAAAAATAAAAGGGACTTTACTGATGAGCATATTGAAATGCCAATACAAATAGAGACTTTACTGACAAGAATATTTAAAAAAGGGACTCTACTAACAAGCAAATTAAAGTGTCAATAAAATAAAGGAACTCTACTGATGGGCAAATTTAAAATGTCATTACAAAAAGGAATTCTACCGACGAGTATATTAGAAAAGGAACTCTACTGACGAGCGAATTAAAATATCAATACACTAAAGAACTTCACTGACGAGCAAATTAATATTTAAGTAGAAGAAGGGACTGTACTGACAAGCAAATTTAAAATTTCAGTACAAAAAGGGACTCTACTGACGAGCACATTAAAATGTCCTTAAAAGAGACTCTACTGACGACCAATTATACAAAAAGGGACTCGACTGGCGAGCAAATTAAAATTTATGTTTAAAAGGGGACTCTACTGATGAGTATAATAAAAATTCTAATACAAAAAGAGACTCTACTGAAGAGCAAATAAAAATTATATTACAAAGAAGGACTTTACTAACAAGCAAATAAAAATTTTAGTACAAAAAAGGGACTCTACTGATGACTAAATTATACAAAAAGAGACTCTACTGACGTCCAAATTAAGATTTTAAGTACAAAAAGGGATTCTACTGACGAGCTAATAAAAATTTCAGTACAAAAAAGTAACTTTACTTATGGGCAATTGAGAATGTCAATAGTAATGGGAACTCCACTGACGTACAAATTAAAATGTCAAAAGCAAAAAGGGACTCTACTGACGAGAAAATTAAAATTTCAATACATTTGCAAATAATACTGTGCGACATTTTCACTTATATTGTGCTTTCACATTTTTTGATAGTTTTCACAAAATTGGAAAAGTGCTCCAGTACATAAACAGTCTAAACGCACTCGGGTAAACATTTGTACCAGAGCGGCGCTTAGACCGTGCTTAGCCTGGGTCATTTTTTGAATTTTTTGAAAATCCAACATTACAAAAATATTGTATGGAAAATAGAAAAATATGTAATAATTTTTTATCCTCAAAAGCAATTGTTTTGTCAGCATATGTAAGGCCCGGAATAAAAAATAAGTCATTGAACAGGAGGGTTATTATAACAACTAATATTGACGCAAGGGATGATTTAGTTGGAAAGTTAGTATATATGAAATTAAATACATTTTCCCAACCCTAGCTTTATCCGTTTCTACCAGTTTTCTCGTCTGTAGAGTCATTTTTATTGCAAAATTTTATTATTTCTCGTCAATAGAGTCATTTTCCTTAAGAAATCTTATATTCGACTATTGCTCGTCAGTAGAGTTCTTTTTCTAATGGAATCTAATTTAATTTTAATTATTTTATATTAAAGTTTTTGTCTCAAATGTTGGACTTTGCTCGTCAGTAGAGTTCTTTTCCTTACAAAATTTTACGTTCAACTATTGCTCGTCAGTAGTCATTTCTCTTATAAAATCTTATATTCGACTTTTGCTCGTCAGTAGAGTTCTTTCTTCAACAAAATCTAACTTAAAATTATTATTTTATATTGAATTTTTTGTCACTCTAATGAGTTTGCTCGTCAGTAGAGTCCGTTTCTGATACATAATTTTACTTTCGATAATTGCCTAAACGTTATTTGCAAATAATTCTGTGCGACATTTTCACTTATATTGTGCTTTCACATTTTTTGATAGTTTTCTCACAAAATTGGAAAATCTCTCCAGTACGCAAACAGTCTAAACGCACTTGGGTAAACATTTGTACCAGAGTGGCGCTTAGACTGTGCTTAGCCTGGGCAATTTTTTGAATTTTTAATCGAAAATTACAAAAATGTTTTACAAAGATGTAATAATTTTTTATCCTTACAGATTCGTAGTTGCTGCGCACTTCCTCGACTTCAGCAGTCAAAGATTGGACGCGTCTCTGGGAGACAGACAATTGGTCTAAGGTCACTTGCAATTGGCGTTGGACGTCATCGTAGGCGGCCTGGATCTCGGTCAACTGGGTAAAGGAAACATTATTTAAACATAAATAAATAAAACGTATTCCATCTACGAAGTCAACAATCCATTACCTGCAATGATTGCTTCTTGATGGTCTTCTGCAAATCGATGTTAGTCTTATTGGCAACGTCCAAAGACAATTCCAATTCGGTGATTTGGATCTGGAGCTTCTTCTTGATGCGTTGGACTTCGGTCTTCAATTTGGTTTCAGCCTCGGCAACGCGCATGTTCAATTGCTCGATTTCCAAGCTGGTCTGTTTGCTGAAAATAACAAAAAAAACAAAAATTAGAAATTGTAGTAAATTTGATGCGCAATACTCGACGTGAATGCTATAGCATTCATCTAGTATATAAAGATTGAAATATAATATCATGACTACCCTTATTAACTGTGTTGCATAAAATTTTAGAATTCATAACCATTAATTTTGTCCAATTTAAAAATAAAATGAATGACAATTGTTGTACCTTTGATTAGGACTTTGTACACCAGTACTAACTTATTTAACGTACTTTTTTCATATTTTGCGTTATTTTGTGTCTAATTTATTCAACAACATATAAACTATTATACATAATTAAATAGCCTATTAAATAGTCTAAAGAACTGTATACAACATTTTCAAACTTTTGGAATAAAACTATCTGTAAAAATTTGGATCTTGAACACCAGTACTGACTTTAAAATATATACAGTTTTAGTGTACTTTGTTGCGTTATTTTATGTATAAAATATTTAAAAACATATAAACTAGGGAATGCAATACCGATCGAAAATTTCAATACTGGTATTTCGGTAATTTTTCATTTTAAAACCGGAATACCGGTAAATTACCGGTATTTTTATTATTTAAAACAAACGTAAACAAAATTGAAAGTTACTAGTACAAATATAAAAAAATGTATATTCAACTAAACAATAAAATAAAACAATAAGTTTATTCTTTTAAATAATAATTTAACAGAATTATATCCAATTTAATTTATTCATTATCACTATCGAGTATATTGAGTACTTTTCACCAAAAACAAACTTATGAGTAAGAAAGACCAAAAACTCATAAGAGATCATATTACATTATTATAATAAACTGTATTGTCTGTATCCGATGTGTTAAATTAGCATAATCTTCAATATTTTGAGAAAATAATTTTTCTACACTAATTTAAGATCGGATTCATTGTCGAGATAAATAATAAGTTACTATAATTGTAGAGTATTGTTATTTAAAATAATGTGATGCTTCTATTGTATTTTTAAACTTCGAAACGTTTTCGAAAAATAATATTTTATAATTGTAATGAGAAGCAAAAAATATTAAGTAATTATCATAATTATTATGTATAAAGTTAGAAAAAAAAAAAATAAAGATTATGCAGGGGTATGTCCTGTATGATATAAAATATTTTAGCGCAAATATCACTTAAAAAACCGTTACATTTTTACAAAAGATGAAACAAACATCATTATCTATCAGTTCAATTGTATTTATTGTAACACGATATGAAGCCCTTTGGAAAGCAATAAATATTCAGTTTAATGACGTGTTGAGATAATATTTGACATTTGTTTATCCTATAGAATCACTTGAAGATACAGCTGTTTATGGAATTACGGAATTTAAAGATAAATTTGTTCCGAGAAATTTAAACTTCAGGGTATTATGTATCAAATAGCGCTTATGTAAAAATACCGAAAACACCGGTATTTTTGGGGTAAAAATACCGCCGAAATATCAGGCGGTTTACCGGTAATTCGGTGTACCGGTATATTGGTATTGCATTCCCTAACCAGTACTAACTTATTTAGTGTACTTTTTTCATATTTTGCGTTATTTTGTATATAATCTATTCAACAACATATAAACTATTATACATCGTTAAATAGCTTATTAGATAGCCTAAACGACTGTATACAAAATTTTTAAACTTTTGGAACAAAATTATTTGTAAAAAAAATTTGTAAAACAGTTATCGGTGGCGATGCAAGAATTAGGCATTTAAGGGGCACAACTAGTGTGAAATTTTCAAAAAACCGAATTCTCATTTTTTTCATATTTTAATAGGATATATTATTAAAAATAACATACCAAAATTTTAAATCGATATCTTGAATAGTTTTTGAGTCACAGGCATTTAAAGAGTATATATATAGTATATAGTATAACGATTATTTAATCTTTAAACGCGTTTTTCTCGAAACAGCATTTTCCGAATTTGCTGCAGCAATTACTCAAAAACAAACGATTACTATCAATTTTTTTACATGTTCTATATATAGTTCTACGTAAAATGAACTATCGATTTTTTGATCGAATCTAAAATCGAATTGTGGCAGTCCAAAAACGACCAAAATTTAGGGTTAAATTCGACTTTTTTTTAAAAAAAACGCCGCCATTTTGTCAATTTTTGGTTTTTTTCTTTATCGTAGTTCATTTTACAGACAATATTATCTAGTTGAACGAGAATTTTTTCGTTTTAAATTTCATCCACGTAGAAGGCCGGAATCACTGCAGCAGTGAAGGGCCGTTGGAGATCAACGATAACTTAAAAATATTTAATTTTTTTCTTCAAAAATTTTACTATGCATTCTTAAAACATGTATAAATATATTCCTAAAATTTTCAAATGATTGATAAAGTAGTTTTTTGAATATAAATTCCCAAAAATCAACTTTTTTTAAGGCGCTTACACTAGTTGTGCCCCTTAACAATTGATTTCTCTGTGCAATCTACCTTTGATCAGTAACTTGTCTAAAATTCCTATCACAAAATCCGACTAAATCATTCTTAACCAAAGTCAACGATCCCAAAGCATCTTGCAAATCATCTTTATCATCCTTCATCTTTTCCTGCAAAACTTGTTTGAAACTCCTAACCGGCAACTCCATAGCCGATTTGCTCCTCTCCAACTTTCTCTGATTGTCCAAATTTTGCTCAGCCTGCTGCAAAAGCTGGGTTTCGATAGCTTTTGCTGATTTTCCTCTCATCGGATTAATCGGAGGCTTGCTAGAAGTCACATCCAGCTGCTCCAAATTGGCAGAAACAACTTGTCTGTTGACTCTGACTTTGGTTCTCCTCATTACAACTTGCTCGTTCTGGGCAAATTTTGAGAGGACACATTTGCTGCACTTGATGACTTGGATAAAATATTTTTACCCAAATCCACCAACTCTCCACCACTAGCAGATCTTCTTAATACATTACTACGTTTTGTACCAATTGTAGCCAAACCTTTCCGGACGATTCTGTCGGTATCTTTAGCAAGCTCCTGAATCTCTTGTTCTGTGTAAGGTTTGATTTTTTTTGAAGGATCATATGGAGGCAAAGCCCTTTCATCGGTGTAGGGAAGATGTGGATATCTGGCATTGCCTTTAGATCGTTTTTCATCTAAATAATCGATCATTGGCTGGTAAAAATTGACGGCGTAGCCGAAATTGTTTTCGTAGACTGATGTCTGTGGACGTTGCCATTGGTTGGAGATCACTTTTAGGGACGACATTAGTAATAGATATATTTGATGTAGTAATAGCTAAAAGTACAAAGTTTGGCAGTTGTGAAATTATTTTGTTCTTTAATTTTGTTTGGTTATTTTTAGGTTAACCAGAAGTTTCTTTAATCAATTGGCAGCTTGAGCTCACTAAATCACTAAAACTTATTTAGCAAATATATTTATCAACACTAAGTTTTTAACACATTTTATTCATCAGCTTTTTCTTTATCCAACAACTCTTCATCTACCAACTCATCACTTGTAGATCCTACCAAAGTTGGTTTTAAGAACTTGTTTTTAAAACAAGTGATATATTTAAAGACCAGACACTTTTCCTAATATTTCGCCCTATATTTGGTTTGTTTATTGTAATTATTTATATTAATAATTAATACTTGTAGATCCTACCAAAGTTGGTTTTAAGAACTTGTTTTTAAAACAAGTGATATATTTAAAGACCAGACTCTTTTCCTAATATTTTGCTCTTTATTTGGTTTGTTTATTATAATTATTTATATTAATAATTAATACTTGTATATCCTACCAAAGTTGGTTTTAAGAACTTGTTTTTAGACCAAGTAATATAGTTAAAGACCAGATTCTTTTCCTAATATTTCGCCCTATATTTGGTTTGTTTATTGTAATTATTTATATTAATAATTAATACTTGTAGATCCTACCAAAGTTGGTTTTAAGAACTTGTTTTTAGACCAAGTGATATAGTTAAAGACCAGACACTTTTCCTAATATTTCGCCCTATATTTGGTTTGTTTATTGTAATTATTTATATTAATAATTAATACTTGTAGATCCTACCAAAGTTGGTTTTAAGAACTTGTTTTTAGACCAAGTGATATATTTAAAGACCAGACTCTTTTCCTAATATTTCGCCCTTTATTTGGTTTGTTTATTATATTATTTATATTAATAATTAATACTTGTTATCCTACCAAAGTTGGTTTTAAGAACTTGTTTTTAGCCAAGTGATATATTAAGACCAGACACTTTTCCTAATATTTCGCCCTATATTTGGTTTGTTTATTGTAATTATTTATATTAATAATTAATACTTGTAGATCCTACCAAAGTTGGTTTTAAGAACTTGTTTTTAGACCAAGTGATATAGTTAAAGACCAGACACTTTTCCTAATATTTCGCCCTATATTTGGTTTGTTTATTGTAATTATTTATATTAATAATTAATACTTGTAGATCCTACCAAAGTTGGTTTTAAGAACTTGTTTTTAGACCAAGTGATATAATTAAAGACCAGACGCTTTTCCTAATATTTAGCCCTATATTTGGTTTGTTTATTGTAATTATTTATATTAATAATTAATACTTGTAGATCCTACCAAAGTTGGTTTTAAGAACTTGTTTTTAGACCAAGTGATATATTTAAAGACCAGACACTTTTCCTAATATTTCGCCCTATATTTGATTTGTTTATTGTAATTATTTATATTAATAATTAATACTTGTAGATCCTACAAGGTATCCATACTCCATACTCCATAGGTTTTAAGAACTTGTTTTTAAAACAAGTGATATATTTAAAGACCAGACTCTTTTCCTAATATTTCGCTCTTTATTTGGTTTGTTTATTATAATTATTTATATTAATAATTAATACTTGTATATCCTACCAAAGTTGGTTTTAAGAACTTGTTTTTAGACCAAGTGATATAGTTAAAGACCAGACACTTTTCCTAATATTTCGCCCTATATTTGGTTTGTTTATTGTAATTATTTATATTAATAATTAATACTTGTAGATCCTACCAAAGTTGGTTTTAAGAACTTGTTTTTAGACCAAGTGATATAGTTAAAGACCAGACACTTTTCCTAATATTTCGCCCTATATTTGGTTTGTTTATTGTAATTATTTATATTAATATTAATACTTGTAGATCCTACCAAAGTTGGTTTTAAGAACTTGTTTTTAGACCAAGTGATATAATTAAAGACCAGACGCTTTTCCTAATATTTCGCCCTATATTTGGTTTGTTTATTGTAATTATTTATATTAATAATTAATACTTGTAGATCCTACCAAAGTTGGTTTTAAGAACTTGTTTTTAGACCAAGTGATATATTTAAAGACCAGACACTTTTCCTAATATTTCGCCCTATATTTGGTTTGTTTATTGTAATTATTTATATTAATAATTAATACTTGTAGATCCTACCAAAGTTGGTTTTAAGAACTTGTTTTTAGACCAAGTGATATATTTAAAGACCAGACACTTTTCCTAATATTTCGCCCTATATTTGATTTGTTTATTGTAATTATTTATATTAATAATTAATACTTGTAGATCCTACCAAAGTTGGTTTTAAGAACTTGTTTTTAAAACAAGTGATATATTTAAAGACCAGACTCTTTTCCTAATATTTCGCTCTTTATTTGGTTTGTTTATTGTAATTATTTATATTAATAATTAATACTTGTAGATCCTACCAAAGTTGGTTTTAAGAACTTGTTTTTAGACCAAGTGATATAATTAAAGACCAGACTCTTTTCCTAATATTTCGCCCTATATTTGGTTTGTTTATTGTAATTATTTATATTAATAATTAATACTTGTAGATCCTACCAAAGTTGGTTTTAAGAACTTGTTTTTAGACCAAGTGATATATTAAAGACCAGACGCTTTTCTAACATTTCGCCCTATATTTGGTTTGTTTTATGTAATTATTTATATTAATAATTAATACTTGTAGATCCTACCAAAGTTGTTTTAAGAACTTGTTTTAGACCAAGTGATATAGTTAAAGACCAGACACTTTCCTAATATTTCGCCCTATATTTGGTTTGTTTATTGTAATTATTTATATTAATAATT